TGCCCCCATTATATATGGACACTACTGAGGACTACTCTTCTTGCACGCCAGAGACAAAGCTTTTTCTTTACTTGTTTCGTTACGAACGCGAATAAATCTAATCCAGGTTGACGTTTCCGTGTGTTGATATATGAAGGGCGTTCATAAAGTTTGCATTATCTTCTCAAAAAAATTATAGAAAAACGGAACATTATAGGGCCTCCAACATGAATGAGCGCGCGTCCCTCTAGTTTCCGCACGATATAAACATCGCGTGCTATAGTAGCTCGGAACGCCGCTAGGGTTCGAAACAAAAATGGCACCGCCCGTCAGTGCCAAGCACATGCAGTAAGCCGGGTTTTTTTTTTTTTTTTTTTTTTTATTTTAACGGAAGCACTGCCAAGAATATTCATTTCAATCTGGAAGCGTTGTTCGGGGACAACGCCCCAGTTTATGACACTTTGGTAAAATGGGGCAGACACTTCCAGTGTGGCCAAATAATAGGAAAGCATTTCAAGGACGGCGACCAAGTTGGCTTGACGTTCCGCGATTTCATGAAGTGCAAGGACAGCCGTAAAACAATGCCGAGACATCAAAACTCCATTCAAAATTTTGATATTTATTTTTTTGTTTTTGTTTTTTTGTTTTTTTGCGTCCGAAATTGAAATGGTTTGCCTCATAGTTTAACAAGTATTGCTACTTAGGATTTCTTTGCTCTAAGTTTACATCGGCATTCTTATATCCAGGGTTACTAGCCGTAATGTCTACTAATATTCCTTACAAAAAATATTTTGTACAACTTTATTGCGCATTTGTGTATAGTGTCTTTCATCATGCCATACAGTACTTTATGCCTTGGGCGACAAAGACCGATGGCAGTATTATGTACATAAATAAAATATAAAAAATCAAATTACTAGGTTTGTCTTGTTGCTTCGTAAATTTTCTACTATCTTCTTAGTTGGATGATAATGCAACTGTCATGTTTTTATGGTAACAAAGAAAGGAAACTGAGAGGCATGTCTGATTTTTAATATCAAAAGAATGTATTCGCGACCAGTTGTTCTTCTTTCCGAATCCAAATAAGGAAAAAAGAAAACTGATTAGCAAAGAAATAAAAAAATGACGTACATCTAAAGTTCAACTTGCCGAAGTTGGCACTGGTTTACGCTGGTTGTAGGCGCCTCCCCGGTTGCAGAAGCCGGTCTCGTTTGGCTCCAGCTGCCAGCGTACCGATGGCGATCAGTCAGCCAGTTGTTGTGATGGCTTTGCCGGTGCGTTCATGAGACAGGCCTGCCGTTTAGTGTTGACGGTGAGGACAGGTCGGCAGACTTCTGTGGGCAACAGCTTCGTCGGTGTATTCCCGAGCCAAGCTTTTCCGAATGCGCCCGCTCTCCACACTGAATCTCGTCGTACACCTCCTCTCCTTTTTCTTCCGTCCTTTTTTTTTTTTTTTTTTTAGTATCCTCTGACTTTTTTTCTATTTTAGTCGCCGTATTGATCACATCATTACAATAACACATACTGTTTTTTGTTTCTTTACGCAACTTTGGCGTTGTTTTTCTAAGCAGTGATAGAGTGCAGGCGAGCTGGTAATGAATCGACATCTTGAAGACCCTGAGATGGTGAACAATAAAAAGAAAGGGACGACACAACAAAATCTCAAACACAACTGAAATTTATTGACTTGAGCACACCAATAAATAGACTATTTATTATATATTTATTGGTCCTTTTATTATTTGGAAGTCTATCATTGATCTTGTTAATATTTGGAAGTATATTTATTGGTGTGCTCAAATCAATAAATTTCAGCGGCGTTTGAGATTTTGTTGTCTTCGTCCGTTTTTTATCGTTCCTCATTTCCGGATTTACAACATGTTGTTTTTCTGTTCTTTCAAGTAAGAACGTGTAAATCTTTGGGGACTCATATTCCCTTAAACATTCGTATGGTTGACTAAGCCCGCAGTTACCGTAACTTTTTATCGGAGGGCGATTAGCGTCTGCAGGTTCAGGGTAACCGTCTACATCACAGTCAGTGTCAATAGACGCAAAAATCATCTCCCAGCAACGTTACTGAAGTTAGTATATTTGATTCAAGAAATAACAACATGGAAGCGACAACGACGACGTAAGAGAGATCTTAGTACGAGATCAAACAAGTTAAACGTTTCCCCTTCCACGTGTGCGCTTGTTTCTCACCTGAGCTTCAGAAGGCACGGAGCAATTATTGACATTTAAGGTGAAGTCATTCTTACCTTAAGAGTCGCAAACAGCATGTTAGTGTTGGTAAATGAAAGTCCCTTGAATTATCAATTCTTTCGGATAATGGGCGTACCAACCGATGGGGGGGGGCGGGGGGGGGGACAAGGGGGGCGCTTGCCCCCCGGTTCTCAGAGTAGGGGGGGGGGGCAAGGCATGTGCTTTGTCCCCCCTGAAACAGCCGCCACCGGGCAAGGCAAACAGTAGCCGGCGGTGCCTAAGGGATACCAAGGGCATCGCCCCCCGGTCCTGAGGGGGGGGGGGGGGGGTTGTCTGGTTTGCCCCCCCCCCCCCTCAAAAACAAGTTGGTACGCCACTTGATGTACAACCTCTGCTTCTTTATTAATTTACTAATTTTCTACGGGTAGATGAGACCACGACACAATGTCATTTCTTTGCTGACGATTCTGTTTTGTGTTCCAGTTTATTATATTTTACTTGTCAGAAATCATCGGGCCGATAGCCCCTTCATATACTCCTTTCCTAATCTCGAGATTGAAAAATGAATTTGAATTTAAGAAATCTGTGCAAAGAAACGAACACCTAAAAGGTCCTTCGAGGTTTACTTCGAACTATAATAAAAGGTTCACTTCGATAATATTATAGCGATTGCGCTCCCGAAAAATGTGACCTCTGCACAAGACTATGCGTCAATGTAGACCAGAGACGAAACTTTTTTCTTTCCTTGTTTATTTACACATTCGAGGTACTCAAATCCAGGTTTACCTCTTCGTGTGTTGGTAAACAATGCATTATCTCTTTAAAAATGAAAGCCCTTTACAACTCCCTGTAACGCTGAATTAGAGCGCAGCTCTTGAGGAGGAGGAGGGGAAGGTACGGAGAGGAGGGTATGTCCCTCTCCTTTCCTGCTCGCCTCCCATTGGGGGGAAATTTTTCCGATAAATTTAGCGGGGAAATTTTTCCGCTAAAATTAGCGGGGAAATTTTTTCCGCTAAATTTAGCGGGGAATTTTTCCCATAGATTTAGCGGCAAAATTTTTCCGCTAGATTAAGGGGGGAAAATTTACCGCTAAATTTAGCGGGGAAATTTTTCCCTTAGATTTAGCGGGGAAAGTTTTCGGCTAGATTTAGCGTGAAAAATTTTTCCGATACATTTAGCGGGGAATTTTTTCCGCTAGATTTAGCTTGGAAATTTTTCCGCTAAATTTAGCGGGGAAATTTTTCCGCTAGATTTAGCGGAGAAAATGTTCAGCTAAATTTAGCGGAGAAATTTTTCCGCTAGATTAGCGGGGAAATTTTTCCGCTAGATTTAGCGGGGAAAATTTTCCGCTAAATTTAGCGGGGGAATTTACCCATAATGCACCGTGGGGTTAAGCCGACGGCGACGGCGACGCCGATGGCGACGCCCCTCAAGCCGGAAACGGGCGCCTGAGAGCTGCGCTAAAAAAATGAAAAGAAACAAAGCTCGTGACGCACAATATTTTTATTTGTCCTTTATTAGAATGTGCGGCTATATACGTGACCCGCATTTCAAGTCGTTATCGACCAACTACAAAACGTTCAGAAAAAAACACTTCGATTTATTTATAATGCATAGGGCAAAAGTACATCCGTAATATGCCTTAATGACTCGCCCAAAATTAACCCAGTTATTGAACCGCGGAAAAGGTAAACCTTTGAACTTTTTGAACAATTCATGATAAGGTTGCCCTGTCGTTAGGCGATCATCTATTTTAAAGTGCAATGAGAGCCGTAATATATGATGTAAAAAGAAATTATATTCGCAAATTGTAAAATTAGCCTTCGTTATTTTTTTTTTTTTTTTTTTTTGCTTGACCAAGATTTGGTTATGGTTTGCATCATAGTTTTACAGGCATTGCTACTCATGATTTTGTTTTTGCTATCACTTTATATTAGCATTTTTATTGGCGGATTACTAACTATAATATCTATTACAACGGTTAAATCAGCTGAACTACGAAATTAGGGAGAAAGGAGTAAAGACAGGTGATCGCTGGACCTGTCTTTACTCCTTTCTCCCTAATTTCGTAGTTCAGGTGGTTTAACCGTTGTAATATGTACCACCAACTCGCTCAGCTGTTATAATATATACTATCACTCTTTACAAAATAAAATGCGTCTGACTTGTATTGCGTTTATGTGTATAATATCTGCCCTGATGGCGTATACTCATCTATGCCTGAGCCGACAAAGACAGATGCCAGTATTATTTACATAAATAAAAATAAAATTACAATACTTGCCTTATTTCTTTGTAGATTTCACAATATGATGTTAGTTGAATAATATGGTAACAAATGCCATTTTTCTTTCAGTAATTTCGGCGTTGTTTTTCTGTTCTTTCAAGTTAGGGCGTGTAAATGTTCAGGCAGTTGTATACACTTGTACTTTCTTATGGTTGACCACTCCCGCAGTTACAGCTCCTTTCAATCGGACGGCAGTGCCCGTCTGCAGGCTCCTGGTAAATCTCTACAGCCCAAGGAGTGGCAATAGACTAGCAAAAATCATCTCCGAGCGACATTCCTCAGGTTAGTGTACTTGACTAAGGAAATAATAACATGGAAGCGGCAATGCCGACGTCAAAGCGAGCGTAGTACGTGACTCACCAACGTAAAATTTTCCCCTTCTATGTTTATGCTTGTTTGTGACTTAAGCGCGAAAGCGACCCCGCCTAGTGTGCCTCCCTTATTCCACCTAGACTACGGGTATAAAAAGAACTGAAATTTGCTGCTGTTCACTGGCAGTTTCCCAGACGCATCTCAACTACAACAAGCCATCATGATCGCCGTAAGTCCTCGCTTGTTGCTTAAAAGCATTTAAACTCAAAGGTTACCGCTAAGTGCTGGCTTCACTTGATCTTTTTTTTTAAGTTGACAAAGTGAACAGAATATTATTCTTTAAAATATATATGGTATTGACATCACTCGTACATATAACACAAAAACCACTTGATTCCCCAGATAAAAAGGATGCGCTCCAAAACTAGTTCAAGACACAATAACAAATTTATTTTCATGCGAAAAAATTATCTTTATATTCAATATTTAAAATGTGTAAACTGAAAACTGATATATATAACATACATAAAATGTTGAAAAATATTTCTCAGATATTATCTTTAAAAAGACAAATATTAAGAATAGATGTTCCGTCATCGTGATGGTTCGCCTGAATTCACTTGATCTAGGCGTAAAACAAATTGTACTACTTTTCTTCCCTTCCAGTTCCGTGCCTGTCTCCTCGTGGCTCTGGCCAGCTGCGCATTTGCCGGCTACGCCAGTCCCTTGTACGGCTACAGGACCCCTGTGGCAGCCTACCACGCCGCCCCAGTGTACAGCAGAGTCGTGGCCCCAGCCGTCACCGCCGTCCACCACGGAGCAGCCGTGTCCCACGTGTCGAGCGTGAGCAGCTACCGCAGCCAGCACCCCGTGGCCACCCCGGTCGCCCGCTACGCCTCCGTCCACACGGCCCCGGCTGTGGCCACTGTCCACACCGTCCCGGCGGTCGCCAAGGTTGCCGCCTACGCCGGTCCCGCGTTCTCCGCTGTCCACGCAGTCCCGGCTCACGGATACGGCCTCGGATACGGCTACGGTCTTGGCACTTACGGACTTCGCTACGGCCATGGCCTGAGCACCTACGGCTACGGACTCGGCTACCATCTGTAAAGACTATGTTTTATTTTTAAAAAAAAAGAACGACTAATAAAGTTATCTATTTACTAAAAAAAAAAGCGGCTTACTTTTTAATTGACACCTGCGAAACCAGGCCTTCTATTTCAACGTATGATTCACACTGAGGATAAGTAGCCATGACTTATGCACGTCGCTAAAAGTTTAATACATTAATCTACTCTTTTTAGTTCAACCGTTTTTTGGTTTCTAAAGATGTTTTTAAAAATATACTGACTACTACATTATAAATAAAAAAAAGTTAAGTATAACGGACCATTATTAGGACGGTCAATGACGGCGATGTGAATGAAAAGTCATGGACCAATAACATCCTAAATCAGCAAGCCTGGCATTTATGTCAGGCTGAGTTCTGTGATCGGGTTCAAGACTCCTGAGAGAAAAGATGCAAGGGTGATTGTCCCTCATGCAGTGAGTGAGTCCGGCATTTTGGCCGACTGCCTGAACGTCTTTTGTGAACCCAAATAGGTCCAGCGACGTCGAGTGCGTCTTGATGAAATTGATCGAAAATCTGACAGTTGTCCATTTGAGCTCGTGTGTGTAGAGCGTGTAAAACAGCTTGAAGCGAAGCTCCGTCAAGATAAGGTTTCGATGTCTAACATCGACCGGTTGTCAACACCCGCTCATGTCAATAACATAAACAACAAAGAAAAGGGGATGGTAATGCCACCGGGAACGAGAATGAGAACGGAACCATCTTTGGTGCACTGCCTTTAGAGTGGCCTTCACGGACTTCAATGAACGAATGAACGAGGGATGCGAGCATGTTTTTTCTGCAGGCTGGTACTATAGCCACACGCGCATACGATGGCCGGCTGCCGTACATCCGGCTAACATTACGAAACATTTCAACAAATCTAATAGAATATTGACAAATGCAGTTTACTGCTCTTTGCAACATCTTGTCTGCGTGCAAGCAACTCCAAATGATATTAAATTATCTTATAATTTAGGCCTAACGAGGGCAATGGTTGCTGATAAGAATTCTCTCTGTCTGCATTGCTGGAAATGACAACGAACGCATTTCAGGAAGGCAGTGTGAGAAGGCTCAATATGTCCCTTAGGCACAAAACACGACACACCCTTTTATCAATTTCAGTGGATTAAAAAAATAACCACAATAACCAACAAAATTCTAAGTGGATCTTTTTCTCACCGTGGCTTTGCATTCCTGGTTCTAGTGTTCCCCAATAGATTTGGATTACAATGTTCCTCCTGCAATCATATTGATTTTTTTTTTGTTGGTTTTTTATTGAACTACGGATACACGTGCTCAAGCGAAATCACATCGGAAAAATATCAGTGGATTAAACAGCAACGGTAATAACTGGTCTTGCTGCCAGTTATAGGTGCCAGTTATTCTTATGTTGTACCCACCTTCTACTTCATGGCCTGTAGATGTAGAAATAGAAAAATTAGAAAAAAAAATTATGATTACGCGTATTGAGATGATAGAAAACAGTCATGCCCTTAGTTTTTAAGTGTTCGTTGACCATACGTTGAAACAAAACAAACATGGCTTAAAACCGAAGGGACAGACAGCTTCAATACTGCATCTATTCTTTAGTTGTTCACCCAAAAATTGTATGTTCATTAAATAAAGCGAAAAAAATGGGAGAATAATATTTACGATACAAATATTTAGACGGCCTAATTTCGGTCTGAAGCGGCCTTTTGTTTCTAAGTTTTGAATGTAGGATAATTGCAGCAGAAACTACATAAGAGCAGGCCATTACAGTGGCCGCGTGATTGAAATCAGGTTTGAATATTGCAAATTTAAATATCGTTTTATGCCGGCAAATTTTTCAAGACTAAAGTTATATATGGCTTTAATTTCTGGGAGGAAAGTCACTAATGAGTGTCCTCTTCAAATATACTGCAACTTCTTTCGCTTACATGCCCTTTATTTACATTACTGGACGTTCTCTTTCTTTGCTCCTTGGCTTCAAACTCTGCACTCCAATGTCGTGGTGTCCTCCTCTTCTTTCTCGCAAATCGTGAAATTACTCTTGCAGCAATTCGCTCTTTAAACTAAGATATTGAGGTGGGCTAGTTGGATATGCATGATGTAAAAATTAAATAGCGCAAAGGTTAGACAAAGGACAAAGGACAGAACATGTAGACAGGACAAGCGCTAACTCACAACTGGCGTTTTAATAGAAAAGAAGAGAAGGAAGCAGCATAGAAATACGCCGAAAAAGGAAAAAAAGAAGATTTATAATAAAAGGAAAAAGTGAAAGGTATATACAAGAATGAATAAAAGAAAACAAGAAAATGAGAGAAAGGGGGGCTGCGTAACTAAATTAATTCCTGGGAATATATTGAAATTAAGAAAAGGCTGTAGCTTAAAGAAAGAAGAAGTTGAGAAGACTAGAAGTTCCCGCTGAATCAACCTCAAGTTGGCCACCGAAGGTAAGTTAATTCTTTTTCAGTTAAAGCCACTGAAGGTGCACTCACACAGGCGTCTTCCTTGTCTTTGATAGTTAAGGCCTCGTAGATTTCTCGCGAAGTTTTATCGCGAGAAACGTTTTTGACAAAAACGAAAATCCTACGACGGTTCCGCGATAAAACTTCGCGAGAAATCTACGAGGCCTTAACCATCATAGACAAGGAAGACGCCTGTGTGAGTGCACCTTCAGTGGCTTTAACTGAAAAAGAATTAACTTACCTTCGGTGGCCAACTTGAGGTTGATTCAGCGGGAACTTCTAGTCTTCTCAACTTCTTCTTTCTTTAAGCTACAGCCTTTTCTTAATTTCAATATATTCCCAGGAATTAATTTAGTTACGCAGCCCCCCTTTCTCTCATTTTCTTGTTTTCTTTTATTCATTCTTGTATATACCTTTCACTTTTTCCTTTTATTATAAATCTTCTTTTTTTCCTTTTTCGGCGTATTTCTATGCTGCTTCCTTCTCTTCTTTTCTATTAAAACGCCAGTTGTGAGTTAGCGCTTGTCCTGTCTACATGTTCTGTCCTTTGTCCTTTGTCTAACCTTTGCGCTATTTAATTTTTCGCTCTTTAAATGGCTAAGCCTGTAGTTAGTTTCAGCGACAATTGAATGTTTGCTGAACAACATGGCATGTCTGACTGAAAATACGTAACAAAATTCAAAAATACCACTCTCGCAAACTGTTTAATATTGAGGAAGCTTAGGAATATGAAAGTTGTCTTATAACATATATAAAGGCAAGCTCTAATTTTTTTATATCAAAGTGGGTAAGTGAATGAGGCACGTGACTTAAGACAAGACTATCGGGCGCTGTCAATTTACGTCCTTAGCTCACGTTTTTTTTTTTTTTTTAATACTGAAAAATTGTTAGTGACCTTGGTTTTTTCTGCATGTGTTGCGTCTACAATGGAAAGTTCCCTTCCTGATATTTGCGCATCTCCAAATGTATCTCCAAATTTTAGTTTTATTCATTCTGGTATAAACTTACGTGCACTACATCGCCCTAACCTCTTTTGGCACACCAAAATAGGTTACCAGGTTTATAGAAACGATATACATCCTTAAAACGTCGTAGGTTCTCAGTGCGTGGAGCAAAAGCTCGTGCTGGGCTCATTCATTTCAATATCTACCGTCGTGGTTTTGTTAGAGGGGGAAGCTTGAGCGACGTGAATCTGCTTTCTGACTACTTGACGATGAAACTTAAAGTATCAGATTATCAGTCGTACATGACTCGGAAGGTCGATCATCCACATTGCTGATAATAAGACGCCATTTCTAGGCGAACTGACTTTCCCAGTCTATGTTTTTATTACAGGCAGGGCCTATATATAAGATCACTTTTAAAAGGGTGTTTGTTACTACAAACACGTCTCACTGTTGAGTGTATGCGCAAGGTTCTCGAATATTTCTTAACATTTCGTAACCTTCTTTGTAGCTAAAGCAGTTCTGGAAAAAGGTCAGAACGGCTTCCACGCAGACACTTCACATTAATGTACCCTCTTCACACGTTTCATGAATTCGCTACTATGGTGGATAACGAGGGCCAAGTGAGTTTTCTTGTTTAAGATTTTTCGAGGGCTTTCAACAAAGTGTAGTATCGGAAATTAAGATATAAATTTATGCAAGCAGGGAAAAGTAACACCTATTTTGGTGGACTAATTCTTACCATACAATTCGTAAGCAGATTGTGTACTCTTGCGAAAGCGATGTTTCTATACCCTGTCTCACATTAAAGGGGCAGTGCAACGATATTCTGCTAGTATGTGTTTCTCTTTACATGAGCACGGGCACTAGTGAAACCCAAGTATACTCGCTCCGTAACGTAATTCATCCAGAAACCTTCTTATTATTGTGCAGAGATTTCCCTAGACCCCCCCTAGTTTTCCTAGACACCCCACCTTGATTCTAAAAAAAAAAAAGGAAAAAATAAAATAAAATTCTTTTTTTCAGATTAAGTAGAAAACACCACGTCTCAGGTGTATATATAGAGGAAGGGAAACCTACATTACGGGTATGAGCATTTGGTTAATAGACGTCTGTAATTTAGCTAGTGGACTAAAAAAGAAACAGTTTTATATTTTATCTAGCCTCGCCTCGCCTCGCATCACCTCCACCCCCCCCCCCCCCCCCCCCCCCCCCCGCCCTGAGCCATTCGGACACCCCCCCTTGATTAGAATCCTGGGGAAACCCCTGTTATTGTGTAATATCACGAATGAAAGCGAGCGATTTCTTTTAGTCTATTCTTCGCACAACTTGATGACGTAGTTTGGAGGTCGCAGTGCACTCGATGTGGGCTCGCGATAATCAACAGTTTGACAAGCGTCCGGGTAGTGGCTCCTGTTCAATCGCTCCAAGGTCGACGATCGCCGAACCCTAACAATGTCTGAA